AAAAGTGGAAGAAAAGTAGAAACATAGGATTCATAATAATCAGACCAGGCCTTCCTTGGGTAGCATGTTCAGCCAGCACAAAAAAGTATTGCTTGCAACACTTACGGACAAAAAAAGAACCAAGACGTAGAATTACAACTCTATACTCCGACCTACTTCCTGCAGCCCTCCAACGTATCTTCTACAGATCCTCACAAAACTATTCCAAAAAGGTTGAGACCTGGCAAAACAAAAGACATCTCAAGCAGGGAAGACAGGTGAACTGTTAGAAAAAAATGTAAAGGCCCAAGAGAACCCAGGAAATGAGAATCCAGACAAGTAACTGCAGGAGCTCTTTTGGACTGTATGAATCATCTGCCAGCATGCAAGTACATCCTCGGTTGACAGCATCATTACTATGGAACACTCAAAAATTTCAGGAAGCAGGAAGGGCAGAGCTTAAAACAAAATAAAAACAAAACAAAATAAAAAAGCCAGCATCTCCCCTTTCAATGAAGGGGACAAGATCACATGGCAAACTTTCTCACTGTTTCAAATCTCAACTCTTGGTATCATTTCCTCCCTTCCTCACCAAAAGAGAAGTACAGAAACGCTGGCAGCTAAGGTCTCTGCCACGACTAGTCCTCAGATGAAGTTTCTTATAATTTAATCAACATTTAATAACATTTGGATTTACAGAAATCCCTGTCTTCCACAGCTAAAAAAAAAAAAAAAAACCACCACCTCCCTCTTCTTTCAGAACTCTATCACTTCCTAGAGAAGACAAAATAGCACTAGGGATCTTACATAAGGTAATTCATTGAAGTTATTATACAAGCATAGGACTCATCACAGCAATGAGAGAAGAAAAAACAAAGAGGCAAAACATTAGGAAGTGACAAACAAAACTGCTTTAAAATGTTTCATTCCTTCAGACATTGTTTTAAGCAAAGTTATGAAATCAAAAGTTTCAAATTACTTCAGATTAAAGGAAAACTTCATGCAAAAAAAAAGTGATGGAATTATAATTCTAAAGAGACAAGCTGTATTTCCTTGCCAATGCAGTTTTAAATAACTTCACATTCCAAATAAGAGGAATTAAACTGACTACCACTTTATTGGCAAGGAAGGAAGTTAAACGCAACAAAACACCCTCTGCCCTGGGCTTGGTTCTTTATCATAATAAAATCCTGCAATATTTGGAGCTATTATTCATACACATTTCCACTTCCTGCCTTGAGAACTTGTTGGAATTGGAGACTTTGGGTTGAATCAATATCCTTCACTGTTCATTCTTAGCCTTAACCATTCTATTTTTCTACCTGTAGTGGCCAGAAATAATTTATATGTGTTCTACCAATAAGTTACAATAGAAAAAAAAGCATGCTGCAGATGCCACATACCAAAGGAAAAAATAATAAAAATAATACTCCTTTCTGTACACAGCATCTCCTTTTGATAATTTATGGATATTTTAATTTGGAATTGCATTCT